ATCACATGAACAGATTATTTAGTTATTTAACATTAATTTAGCTTCAATTTCAATATCAATGTTAAGTCAATCAATCATTTGGTTTCATTAGAGGCCAACAAATGTCATACAAATAAACAGACATTTATTTTATTGTAGTCTTATAATAAGTGTCAATCAATTGCCCATCATTTATCATGTTCATTTATACAGTTTTATTAATTGTGTTTAGTGAATATATAATTAATTTAAATATTCAATACCATTTAAATGCAAATATAAAATTAATATAATTTAACTAAAAATATATTTTTATAAACTTTCGTGTATACAATACATTTATCTTTACCAAAAATAATTGCAAATAATCATCTAAAAAAATTCTTAAGATTCTTGATATTTGACATACACTTATCAAAGTTATGTAGTCTACTATTTAAAATTATTTACAATCAATTACAACAAATATCAAATGCCCACAAACTTGTTTAGACTAAAATTATTTAGTTTTCAGCTTTGAATTTCTAGCAATTTTCTATAATTAACAAATTCTAAGTAACTAATCCAACTAATTGTTGTAATGTATTTTTAACTGTAAATAATACACTTAATAATGATTTTAATTAGAGACTTTTTTACTGCAACCAGATAATTTTCATTTTATTAACTTTTATAATGCAGTCGTTAAAACAACCTTTCTAACATCCATTATGCATGTTATATTAGCTCATTGTAACAACAATTTTATAAGCATTCTGTATCCAGATTAGCGTTGCCAAACATACAGGAACTTCCTGTATTATACAGGAATTAAGGAATTTTTGCAGAATACAGGAAGGGGTAATTCCTGTACATTGAAAAATACAGGAATAAATATTTCTAAAATTAGTTGTAAATTTAGTAGTTTTAATTAACTCTTGATACACTGTCTCGACATATAGCTGAAATTCGTTTCAAAACAACGTTTAATTTTTGTTTTTAATGATTGAATTTAGTTTAATGTGAAATTTTAATTGATACAATGTATTAGTAAACAAAATCCTGTATTAATAATGAGTCCGATGAAAAAACCTCATTAAACATAAATTTCATTAAAAGATATGTAAGAGAAAAATTTGTGATACAGGAAAATACAGGAATTTTTAGCAAATTTTTTACATTTATACAGGATTTTCAAAGTATCATTTGGCAACGCTAATCCAGATCTATGTTATATTTAAATAGAGTTATAATTCATAAAACAAACTGAGTAAATTAAATAAGTTATTAGAGTGGTCGCTGGCCACTCTACAATAATATTTATATCCAAGAAGTATGCTCATGAACAAGCTTGTTTTTACCACGAAATGTATTAATGTTTAATTTTAATTACAATTTCACTTGAAATTGAGCTTAACCATTTGTCCATTACATTCTGTTCACACAATTGAATGAACATCAGTTGCATTAACGCCAAACCCATCGTAAACCCGGTTTAATGCTAATAGATTTCTATGATTTTATTACAATAAAGTACAGTACAGTTACATTACATGGTAAGTATTTTGCAGTACACAATTTGCAACAAAGACTAAATCCATATAAATCCTGATGCAATTGATTGGTTAATTAATTATCGCTGATTTATAGTACTCTATATCGATAAATATATATACAGTTTTTATGGCATCGAGAGTACAGTAAAGTAAGTTATTTTTAGATGTTTTATAGCATGTTGTAAGTGATTTGTGAAAAAAATAAATTGTTATCAATACGATATTTCTATGATCACACATTTAACTTATATTAATAAGCTGCGAACACGTGTACATTGTACTGGGATTATCCTAGCTCAATTTATTTGTCAAAGTTTTTAGTGAACTTATTTAATCTTTAAGAAAGTACTCGTGAAGTAAAAACAATTTTTTAAACTATAGTATCAAAAGTCAATGAAAATGTTTTTTATGAACTATCGACGACTCTTATTGTCTGTATTTTTCCAATGGTCTGACATTTTAGGAGTTGTATTAAACAAACGCCAGACAATAGTATTATAATAATGTTATTAAAACAATAATATATTAGGTTTTAGACTCTTTATATTGATTTGTTGGAAAATTCCGGTGTTACTTATGATTGAGAAAATAATTAATATTATTTTATTTAACAATAGTATTAGTTTTGAAGTATAATCTGGTATTGTATTGTACGATAATAAATGTGTTACAACTTTACTTATATAATTTGATATTAATATATAAATTCAAGTCCATATGGTGTACGGGCAAAGTGTACTCATATTAACAATTAATGCTATAATTAATATGACATAAGCGCCGATGGTTGTATTTTATAACAACCTTTTTAATATTTTTGATGTTTGTGATTAGGGTTGCCAACTGGTCAAGGTTTGCCTTGATTTGCAAGGTGAGAGGGTTTTGGTCAAGGTAAAAGGCGAGGGTCTCACCTTGACATAGACAGGTCAAGGTGAGAGCAAATATAATTATCGTATGTGTATTTTAGGTATTTATTGTAATGAACACACTATTTAAAACCCAGAATAATATTTATTGCCTATTTGTATAATAACAAAACAAATCCTTTCTTAAAACCGCTTCATAAGCAAGACTTGTCTTCAAAAAGCCCGTATCTTATATAAAAAATACACTGTATTATAATAAAACTAAATTAAATTAAAATCTAAATTTACATTTTGCTCATATTTCAAAAATATTTGCAACAAAATATGCAATAATAATTGTGGTCAAGGTTTGGTCAAGGTGAATTTAGAAAAATTTTGAATTTCTCAAGGCGGTGATCGATAAGAGTTGGCAACACTATTTGTGATGCCATTCAATTTAATTTAAAAATTAATAATTATAGCTTTAAAATTTTTTATTAATTAAAATAATGAAGTATTTACAAGTAAATTTGTTTATACTAAATTTTTAGTTTAAAATTCATAACACCTAAAATTACATAAATTAACCTAGACGAGGTTTTAAACCATCAATGAATGATTTTATAAAAATAAAATTATTTAACAAATAAAACAAACAAAACAACAAAATTATAAATCATTTGGTGTTGAGATTTATGCCATGATTTGTATAACAATTATCGTTATCAACGTTTAACTCGTTATCACTATTATTATTATTAGTGTCGTTAATATTAGTATTAATAAAATTATGATTATTATTAATCTCTTGGTTGGGAATAATGGGCCGATTCTGTGAAGACTTGCTTTTACGCCAAAACAGTCTCTCAATGTTAGCAAACGGTATCTCAAACATCAAGAATGCAATATAACTGACGATAAATGTCAAGACTGTGTACTGAAAAAACATCATAACCTGTCAAACAATACAGAAACACAACATTAGATTAAACATACAAACAGAATGTCATATGATATTTAATTATCAATAAAATCTATCAGTAATTATTTCCAACAATTAATTTATAATAGTCTGAATGTCAATGAAATTACAGAATATTCCGTTAATAAGAGTACGCCTGCACTAAAACTACACTCATTTAATATAGTAGTTATGCTTTGTATCAAATTAATTACGATGAATGTCATTGTAACTTTTACTATTTTAAATTCAATAAATATCAATTAAAAATTATTTTACATAAAATATACAGTGAGTTAATTACATTAAATGATATTTTCATCATTTCATATATGTATACCTACCCTAAAAATAATATGTGTAAATACAGTAAGTATACTCCAGATATACTCTATAGATTAATAAATAACTGTCACGATGTGTGGTATGTGTACACTATATTGTGGGTGAACTGTAGATGTGATATAGGAGTCGGCACGTGTGTGAAAAATTAATTTTCATCTCCCCGTAATATATTGGTTATTTATTTATCAGTTATTCAATCTAAAAACTAATTTTTTATTTGTCGCGACATTTGATGTGGGTCTAATATCAAGTAAACTCACTAAGGTAATAAATTAGCAATTTAACACTTACTTATAAATTATTTTATTTTAACACTGAATTGATTTGATATCTATGAATTTATAATTTTTTAATGGTACCTGATCAAATGGTAATAAAAAATAATGTACTGTTTATATTAGTAATAGATAATACCACTAGTTTACTCAAGTAGTATTTAATTGAATCAATCAGAAAATAATAAAAATTATGTTTTTCATTAAAAACTATTTGATTTCTACAAAAATACTGTTTTCGATTTAGATGATAGTCATTATGTTAAGTGTAAAGTACTATACAAAATGTTTTAAGTAATTCTGTAAAATTAATTTGGTATATTGATTGGTAATGTAATCTAGACTTAAACAAAATTTACTGAATATGTGAATATAATAATTTATAAGCATTTAATTCAATTAAAACCAAATAAATATCAATACTTCAAACACTCATAAAGCTATTTTAGTTTAATAAAACATGATAGTCCAATTACCAGGATATATTTACAATATGTACAATAATATTATGTATTTACAAAGTTGTCTTTTGTATCGTGCAGACAGAAATGGTCTTGTTTGTTTTTCTCTCAATTTTGATTTTGTTTTATCTGTCTGTTAGTAGAGATAAGTTCCCGATTTATATTTCTAATGCATATTTGACAGAAATTCTAGATTTTCACTCAATTAGACAAATATTATGAATGAATAGTGCATTAAATTCATTGACTTAGACGAGCATTAATTTACATCGTTATATCAAAACAAATATTATAATTATCTTCTATTTACCCAACCATATAAAGTAAAAACTATAGAATTATTATACTGTATATACATTACAACACAGTATAATAATAATATTAATTGCCTCTAATATACACTCTATCTGAAAACTTTCCGAAATTATAGTTCATCAGCGAATCATTGAATTAAATGTACATAAATATGTACACAAAAATAAACACGATAAAATTTCCACAAAGCTATTACCACACATAATTACTAGCAAATAATAAACTAGTTTGTTATTGAATTAAATAAATAATAGTAATAATAATACTACTAATGAGTATTTCATTCATACCAAGGTTACTTTGGATGAATAGAGAGGTTGTCGGGCGTCGTACACAAACCGGGAGATGAGCACCGAGTGGTAGAGATAGGCCTGAAATGATAGCCGACTCAACGGCACCAACGCTTTCCACGAGAGCACTGTATTGACGATAGAGCCGTGACCTGTGGCGCAGGCAAACAGTATGTATGACCAGCTCAGGGCCCATAGGGTCCTATGGGTGGCCCCGTAGAGCACACTCGCCGTGTTGTGATAACTGTTGCCCAATAGCCAGGGCCACGTCAGAAATGTTATGCACAGGTTTAACGTCACCGATAGTACCCATAATGTAATGTTTAGTTTCTGTGTTTTAAGTTTAATACGGTTATAATTTTTAAATTAAACTTGATGATTTTATTTTTTATTGGAAGTTTTATATTGCTTACCGGTTTAATAACAATTATGCCCTTATATTTTTGAAAGAAATATGCCATTAAAATGCCCACACAATACGGCCCAACTCGACAGTACGCCTGTTTGTACACCAGATTTATATAATCCAAATCACTGGGAGTTAAATGCAACCGGGAAGATTAAGTTATATTTACGTAAATATTAAATTACATTTTTAGAATTATCATGCTACTTACTAAACACTCATTAAAACAGTGGGTGTGAGTCCTTTCTGTACAGTTATTATGCCGGTTGTGATACAACTGCCAATTATTATTGCGATATTAATACCAATCCCTAAATATTGTTTCCTATGATATCATAGCGGAAATTGTTTATGAATTTATGTTTAATTAAATTATTTCTAAATTTAATTCAAACGAATAAACAGTTTACTTACTTTATGTCATTACTCGCGAGGAATAGGATTAGTATCGGAGATATAATAAACAGTTGCATATCTACTGCCAAATACCACGTAAATGATAGACACTGTAATTAAATAATTTTAAATATAAAGTAGTAATTAGAATAATTATTTAGATAATTAGAGAGAGAGAGAGAGAGAGAGAGAGAGAGAGAGAGAGAGACGAGTTTGTACCTCGGATGTTTGTGTAAGTGTATTTAAATTAAATATGTTATTAACGTAGAGCAGGTTTAGCCACCAGTTTTGATGGCAGGTCTGTGCGGATGTCTCGACATATCGATGCCATTGGGGACCCGAAGCCATTACTTCCTGCAAGACTGAGAAACCCATGACTCCCAACAGGGATGGCGTGAGCCGTAAATATCGATGTATAACATTAGTAATGGGTTTGTATTGTTTAATCGATGTCTTTCTGAGTTCACGTATCGTTCCGTAAGCGCACAGAAAGCCGCTCAACAGGAAGAAGGCCTCAACCCATAGGCCAGCGTTGGTCACGATTTGTAGCATAAAATTGTTTTGACCCTCAAGTATGGACATTAGGTTTGCTGTGTATATCAATATTTTAATTAAATTTAGCTTATTGTCATTATAGGATTGCGGTTATGATTACCACTTGGCAGTTGGGCTTCGGTGTAGATGTGATATATAATGATAAACAATAAGCTAATTAATCGGAAGCCGTGAAAGCATCCGATTGTGTCCTTTTCGTTACCGGTGCTCAACAAACGATCGGTGTTTGAGTAAAATGAAAATGATTGCAATGTTTGCATCACTTTTCCGGGTATTACTGATTGAAATATAATTTATTATTGTATTAGTTTTTTTTAGTAGTTTAGTACTAATGATATAAATTGTTTTAAAATTAATTGTATATTTTTACCATTTTTTGTGCACATATTTATGACTTCAGCGAAAGTCCCAAAAAATATAAGTAATAATATTGTGATAAAACCAGAACTGTATGATTGACATAGAAATGTGATAGTTTTATTATTTCAAAATTATGTATTGATATAAAATTATATTATATAACTGTAAAAATTAACAAGGCCAGAATTTTCAAACTTTCATTGAATTGAGAGTAAAAATAGTAGCAGAAAACTATCGAAAATTAAAAATTTATAATAATTGCTCAAGGTAACTTTGTGATTGATTTATTAACGCTAATACCTAAACGATTTATTAAATAAATATAAACAAATAACTCACAGAATGAATGTGTGATACCATTGAATTTGATTGCCATCAGAATCCGTACAATCACTGACCGATACATTGATTCCAGTATTTAATGAAACTATAAAATTGTAAATTATCTTTTAAATATATTTTTAATTACCATTAAAAATAGCTATAAATAATAAATTGCAAACATCACAATTTTCAATTTATTATTACCACTATAAATGTAAACATTGATCTAAATATAGATAATTATGTGATTTATATAAATTCATTGGAAAAATCCTTGAATTTGAAAATTATTTTACTCTATATTTGCTATTCTAGTAAAATATCGTTATAAATATTAAGCAAATAAAATTTTCCATTAATAAGCTCCCACTATAAATGGGATTTATTTGTAATATTTACTGAAAATTTTAAAAAAAATGTTTATAAGCAATGAAATGATAAATAAATTACATTTCTTAAGGATATTGTTTAGGTCTTCACGACTACAAGCGGTCGGCAAACAAATACCAAGAGTTGGCGTCAAATGAAGGCTCTCGATATCCAAAGCCTATGAATTTATTATATGTTAAATATTTAGCCATAAAAAGTTTACAGACATATCTGTAGGCAGTCATCATTAATAATTAAATTAAAGTTATTTAACTTTTATATCGTAATATTTGCATAAATTATTAATAAATGTTGTTTACTTGATGTTTGGATGTTTGTCCAATTAATGTGCTCATGGGCAAATCCAATGTACAGTAGTGGCCGGCAATACCGGCAATTTGTTGATCGCCCTGTACTATGACCCTAATGTCCAGACATTCATCAAAGTCTCCCATATATTGATAGTTGCCTTTTGCTAGACCTGAGCCCACGACACCACTCGCATCAATCACTGTTTATAACACATTATGAAATTATTTATTTGATATTTAATACTATAAATAAATTATTAGGAAAAGAGATATTTTTAATTTTTTAATAAATTATAATATTTAAATTATTTCATTTCATTTGAATAATTTTGAAATATATATATTTACTGAATTAATTACATATACATTAGTTAAATTGTAAACTATATCAAATAAAGTATATTAAATATTTATATAATTTTTAAAATGAATGAATATAAAATTGTACAGGTATTTTTACTTGAATTATTTAAATTATTTATATTATAATAGCTATAATAAACCTATAACAGTTTTAACATTAAAAAACCAATGGAATAATAATAACATAAACATAAAAGATACTTGATCTTGCTTTAATAAATTAGGACTTATATCAACATTAGAATAATTAGTGTATTTAGTGAATTGAGCTTGCCCATACACATTATCCCAATGAAAAATTACATTTGATTACAAGTTAAATCTGTGATTATAATTCACATTGGTTTAATGGTAACCCATGTAAACATTGAAAACATTGAATTTACTATTGGTTACATGTACAATTTTAGTAAATGTCGTTCATGTGGAAAATTCTTATTTTAACATTGTTACAATTTTTATTGATATTGATAATTTTTTCTAGATTTTTTCAATTTAATGATAAACTATTATACAGTCTATTATTTTTCATCTAATTATTATTGGATAATGTTATTAATAATACTGAATCGTATCTTTAAAATGTAGGTTAAATTGCAATTATTAGGCATTGTATTAAAATATTACAGTATTTATATTTATTATTTATTTATTTTAAACGTCTACACAAGTGATATAATAATCTTTACTGCAAACATAATGCTGACAACAACTCACTTTTACTTTCTGCTAATAAATATAAAATATAAAGTAAATAAAATAAATTATTAAATAAACATTTATAAAATTTCAATTATTTCTAAGCAAACAAACTGATAAACTATTGCCTAAAATAGCGACTCGTATTTAGTTCAAGAATATTCTGCATTAAATATTTTACAGAATATTTGAGTATTTAAACAAAATTAATTAATTAAAAATTTTAATGTTTTAAAATAATTAATAGACAAGAACTTAAAATAATTAATATTAAAATACTCTAAATAAAATATATAAAATATTAATGAATACAATATAAAGACATACATCTGAGAGCCCAGTCCTCGTTTTGGTGATCGTTCACATAATTGGCAACAGTTTTACACTCGAGACTAATATCGGATTCATTGAAATACGTGAAGAATTGAAGCGCAAAGAAATGGTTGGCATATATGGGACTCTCGGTCCCACAAATCAGGCAATAATTGCTAACCAAACCGTAAATCAAACAAACATTTATTAGCAATTTTAATGACATAACTATGGAATAGTCATTCACTAGAAAAAATAAAAACTAATAAAAATAGACACCAAAACGTGTTTAAAGTGATGGATTTATATATTGGGCAAAATTAATATAAGGTTATAACGTTAGGAAAGCCCTGTTTGGTTGTCTACGATAGTGGTGTAGTAAACAGTGTGTGTAAATGATATAATTGGTGGTGTGTTTGTAATACTAACCCGTTTTATACCGTTTATATACATCACAGTATGTAATACACTGACAGTCACTACTATTGTATAGCAAAAAACTGGCTGATTATACACTACTGTGAAGTGAAAGCCTTTGATTAGATAATAAATAACTGGTATTTAAGTTATGTTTTCTGCAAATAATATTTTTCATTGCAGTGAATATTCCTTTGCTATCGTGTTATACGTCTGTATTATTACTGATTGTTGTGAAGCGTTTGGGTTGCCTTCACTCGTGTTGGGACAACACTTATTCTTATAGACTATAAGTTATAAAATACATCCCAATAAAACTTGTTGTTATTTTACCTTAATTTTAATAAAATCATATTTTTATCAAATCAGATAATTATCTTATTAATTAAAAGTATTTTCTAAATAATTAAATTTTGCAACAAGATTGCTAACTATGTTAACTTGATACAAAGGAGATTTGTAACATAACATTAAAATTCTGTGTATGATATTTGCATCAGTATTAGTATCACTATTTATTTTTGCTACACTAACTCTTAGATTTTAGCTAAGAACAGGTAAATTCAAAGCATTTTATTTATTAAATTATTTTTAATAATACTTAATATGTAATGATATTTAATAGTTAACCATAATATAATAATTAAGCAATAAATGAATCTGTGTCCCTAATCTGGCAATAGTAAATGACGTTAAAAATGTTCATAATATAAACTTGAACTGTCGTTTAGTGTTCAAATGATTAGCGAATAACACAACTATACAAATAATAGACAGCATTCATAAATGCAAATATAATTAATAACAAGAATCTAATTCCTAACGAAAGACCTTGGTTCATTTCATGTATTACCTCATGCAGTGTCTCAATGAACTGCCATTATCTGTCATTTGAATATTCAATGGCACTGTTTTATCCAACTTTTACTTTTTCGTTATACTGTATTTCATTGCACTTGTATTTAATGATTAGACTCTTAAAAATGTACTCATTTTCCCGAAGTCTAGTGATTGATGATCACGTATTCTTGAAGTTTATTAACCGAGGGTTTAATGTAATCATTATAGAATTTTTTCTGAATAATTAATGTATTGTTCCCAATTTAGTTATGTATAAATCTGTGTGAATTCCTTCATTAATGAATTAATTTTTGCTAAAATTATTATTTTATAAATTATGACCTGAATATAGTTGTGATACAATTTTTAAAATTCAATTTAGACTTTTTATAGATTCATAAAATCAAATTTAAAGTATACACATATTGTGCTAAAAGCATTATATTTATTTATTTAATACCATTTTATCATGTTTCTATTTTAACTTTTTAGTAATTTTGAAATAATTGTTAACATCAATACTTTATTTAATATATTTTAATGTATTTACAAATTCATTATGTATTTATATATTATGTATTTATATATTATATTATTTGCAATTCATTGCATATTATGCCGTTTATTATCCGTATATCAAAATTTATCAAATAATAGCACTGTTTGTTGACTGATTTTGGGATGATTTCTGTACTTGAATTAGAAATGTCCATTTTAACTAATAGTTTAATTGCAAATTACATTTACTTCATGTATGATAATTACAATAAAGTACAGGAATTATTGAGTTTTATAAACATAAATGACAAAAATACCAGTTTTGAAAATTTTAATAATTTAAATAACTTTCTATTAATTCAAGTATTTAATCAAAATTTATCAATGATTTTATAAGTTTTTATTAATTCAATGGCCATATATTATTTATAAATAAACTTATTAAATTTAATATATTGTTTTCAATAAAAAATATTTTAATAAAAAATAAAATATTAAAAATATATTTTTAAAGAACATAATAAAGGAATTGAAGTACTACCAAGTGATCATAATATGTATGTTGTGATATTATTATGTATATCATTATAATATAATGGCTATATAATATAATAACTTTATATTATAAAGTAATTTTATATGCTTACTTACTTATTACAAAATTATTTTGTGTATTCTATTGATACTTTTAAAAATTTTAAACTTGTTTATTAACTAGATGAGTTTTGTAATAAAATATTAAGAAACATGATCATGGTTTCAGATAATGGTTCATTATGTAATTTTTATATAATTTAAAATTTTGTTACCTACATAAATATTGTAGTTCATAGAATTAATCAATGAAAATTGCAAAATTGTCAAATATTTGGAATCAACAATTAAAATTATAAAACCTACATTTTAGGCTATTTTAAATATCTAATCCTCATTATACAGATCTGAAATTGTAGTTAATCCATGGCATTGCTTGTAATCCTCATTTGTATTTTCCAAGAATTTATACCACAGTTTGAACGACAATGAACTCAAAGCCAGAGATAAATACGTGAATAAAAATCACAAACAATTTCAATGCCAGCACTCGATCACTATTGTAACAAAGTATTTGATTTTCTTACAGACTATAGCTTTCACTGAATAAATGACTTTATTATGTACTTCATTAGGCGTGACATTGAAATATCATTTGATTACACCGTTTGCGCTGATAATGAACTCTCAATTAAAGGCATTGTTAAGTGTTTTTTATGCCGGTGTTGGCACACATCCATACCATGTCATACCGTAGATACTGTACATACTTATGGCATT